CCGCCGCGCACCTCGCGGCCGCGCTGGGCGTCGTGCTGCTCGCGCGGGCCCGCGAGGCGGTCGCGCGCGCCGTCGGCCGCGCGCAGGGGAGAGAGGGTGCGTTGTGATGCCGAGAGCGCGGGGGGAGGCCGGGCCGGGCGGGGAGGTGCGTTCGAAAGCGATGACGTAGAAATCTGGGGGCTGCCAGGTCACCCGCGGCCGCTGGACGCGCCTTACAGACCGTGGCCGGGTGGCGGGCGTAAAGCCGTCTGGTTTCCTTCCCGCACACTATGATACGACACTCGATGTCCACTCCGTTCCAGAAAAAATCCCCCGAAACTCCATCCCCGCATCCCCCCATCCCCGCCCCCCATCCCCGCCCCCCAACCCCCCCTCCACCCCCCTCTCTGCCCACATCTCGCAGGCACCACCCGTCTCCGCCCCCGTCTCCGCCCCCCACCGCCCCGACCCCCTTCCCCCTCAATTTCTTAGTTCGAACGCCCCTTGTCTGGCGAGGCACCGCTTCCCTCCGCCCACCGCTTGCTTCGCCAGCCATGGCCGTCGATCTCACCCCCGCCTTCCACGTCGCGTTGTACCTCGTCTTCCTGGAGTCGCTGCTCTTCTTCGCCGTGATCATGCAGACCAAGTCAGTCGAGCCGGGCACGCATTCCGGCGTGGCGCGCTACTTCGGCCTGGTCTTTCTCTTCCAGGCCCTCGCGTCGCTGTTCCTTGCGCTGGGCGAGCAGCTGTACAAGGGCTACTTCTCGCTCTACTTCTCCGTCATGGCCGCCATCTGCATTGTCATCGCTGTCTGCTTCTGCGTCCCGGCGGCGACGGCCGTCGCCGTCCCGGAGCCGAACAACCAGTGCTTGCAGGCGACCGTCTTCATCGCCTCGGTGCTCGCCATCCTACTCACCACCTTCGCCGTGTCGGGCCACCTACTTGCGGCCCCCGACATCCCGTACCTCAACCTGTTCCTGCGCCGCGAGCTGCTGGGCGCCATCGGCGGCGCCTTCCTGGTCCTGGCCGCCGCCTCCACCATCCGCATGCTGCGCCAGCTCAAGGGCGGCAAGGGCGCCTTCATCCTGCTGGCCGGCCTGGCCCTGATCACCGCATTCGGCATCCTCTGGACCCGCCTCGAGCCGCTGTGCAAGCAGACGGGCGCCGGCGAACCCTGGCCGCCGGCGTGCCCCATGCCCGCCACCTTCGATCACAACTTCATGATCGCCGTCCTCATCATGATCGCTAATGTCCTCGCCGCGGAGGGCATCCTCCGCCTCATGGCCGCTGGCAGTGGTGTTGTGGGCTACGTCGAGATCATCCCTGTCTAGCACACGTAGCCCCGCTCGCCGCCCGCCTGCTGTCTTGTTCTTTAATGTCGCGTCGTGGCGCAGGGTGCCCTGTTGCCCGTCGAGGTCACGGTTCGTCAAAGCCTGTTGAACACCATGGTATGCGGCTTGTTTTTTCGCCAAAGCTATTTGAAATGGTCGTTCTTCACGCTGTCATTGCCGTAGCGTGCCGATCGCGACGCCCTGTTGCGCCTATTGCGCGGATGTGGAGCGGTGGGTTGGCACTCAGCCGACCACCGACGAGGTGCTACTTTTGCGTGCCTGCGCACTTTTTTGAGCGTTTTTCTTGATGCTGGGGTGTTTCCCTGGCTCCTAGGAAGACCGAGGAGGTCTTTTATTGCGGGGAGAATTGCTTCGATGTTAAGCCCTACGGGCCGTTTTTCGCGGCATATGTGGGGTTCTTCTCTTGCTGCATTGTGTAAATATTTGAGTTGTCTGTCTGCCGACGCTTCGATGCCTGACTGCACTGCGAAAGCAGTGCGGTCACCTATCGCGCCGAGCTTACGATGATACTCTGAAGAAGTAAACTACTTACCGTACGACTGAAGTTATTTGTCTGTGTGCGCAACGGACTCTGTTTACAGTGGTACCTTCTATATATCGCACCCCAGTGTCACAACGCTTCAAAGTGCGATATATCCGATAGTGCGATGTAGCAAATACTCTCGAAAAAGATATTTTTTGTTATGTTGAGGCAATGACGTGGAACTGGGCAGAACTACAGTGAACCCTCTCGATATGGATACGCTCGGTGGACGTAATCCGTATCCATTTGCGGAGGATATTCACATCCGGAGACCGTATCATAACGGTGTCACGGTGCATCTCTCAGAATGTCTGTGCTTTACTTAAAAAATGTATCTAAATGTATTGAATGCGCTCTGCTTGCGTAGTTATAAGATGACCTGTGATGTTTTACCCTATTTGCAAATTGGGCAGAGACCCAAATTGCGACTGCGCGTTCGAGATATGGGCTGGTAACTGACGCGGAGCGCTTGAACTTTTTTGTAGAGATATCGGGACGAAAACCATACTTTCCGTTGATGATGCGGGACATGACAGCTTGAGCAGGAGGTTTAGAAAGGGAAAACTGTACTGAGGCCCACCTCGCAAGGGCGCTTTGTGACGTCTGCTCCTTGCTCTTTTTGCGCCGTTGGAACTCTGCACATATTTGTTGCTTTTGGGCGAGGTTAAGCTCAGAGCGCTTCATCGACGATTGTCGCTTGACGGGGGCAGATGGCTACGGTGCTGACAACACGCAATGTTTGCGATCAGAGGAGATCCTCCCCCAATGGGGGAGGACCAACAGGAGTATATGCTAGAAAGATGTTTTTGTCGAGAATGATGATAATTGCGAAGCCTCAGACGGGGATTGGAATTTATTGAACAGATTGTGAACGGATTGATCAAGAATGAACGGTTATGGGGTAATTTGTGCCTTGGCCACTCAAAAGTAACCATAAAATACGTTTTAAGTAGGAGGGGTCTGTATGATATGCTTATTTCACATTGAACCCGATATCCAATTGAGGAATATTCCACAGACATTGTTTTTTGGTAAAAATTTGTAAGCTACGGAGTCCGTCGCTCGACTTTTTATCCGTTTACGGAGGATATCCATATGGAGAATGATCCTTATCGGGAGGGTTCACTGTACTCAGCCACCGTCGCCATAAGCCAAAGTTGGAGGTACTGTGCGGGTCGCTTGTACAGTACGGCCTCTACTAGGGGCTTCTAGAGCGACACGTGTGTAATGTCATACACGTGGCTGATTTCGTGTCAAGCCCGAAATAGTGCGATATATCCGGTAATGCGCTATTCAAAAGTGCGATATGGAGCTACCCCCCCCCTGTATTTCGAAAATCAGGCGGTCGGGACTTGTAATGAGTGTCGCCGCGGGCGTTGTCAGCTCGGCCCTTCTTCTGATGGACACGTGTGGGCTTTGAGTAGAATGGCGTTCTTTTGTTCGCCCGATTGCAAAATATGGTGCTCGCTGTCGGGAGACCGACCGAAAGGGGCGGTCCGGAGGGGATTTTAGTGAAGGATAAAAGGGTGGTAAATAGGGTTACCTTAAAGGGAGGGGGAAGAGCGGCAGGCTATTGCCTCAGAACCGCTACAGAGGGTGAGCACGGTCAGGGGACGGGGTTGTCGGGTTGATGGTTCAGGTGATCGAATGTGCTGAGGTCGAAGACGAGTAGCGTCTTCGACCTGGCTTTATAGTCCTATTAGGTCTTTCTTGCAAAGACTGGGAAACTACGCAATGACGGGTGAGGTGTATATTGTTTGATTGGCATCAGATGGGACTATCGCTTACAATGCGCGACTGAGAATTTGGCAATTAATTAGCACAATTTGCAGCCATTTATTTTTCGGGTTGGAAGTGATTCATTACAGAACTATTCAATGGCACTGTAGTCATTGCCTCATATATCAGCATCGGGGTCGCGATCTAGCATTCCAGCTCTGTGCAACTGCAGGGACATGCCCCTCGCAGGCTTCCGACGATAGCGCTCCTGGGACTGCCGTCGGCGCTCTATTTGTTCCACATCGATGTGCAGCTGGCGATTTTTCACACGTTGATATCGATCCAGGTCTTCCTGACGAAGTGGATGCCAAGTAATTGTACTGGGTTGTGATAAAATCTCTGTAGTTTGCCCAAATGATTGTGAACTCCTCTGGATCAAACTTGATCATGCTGACAATTGCTCGCCCTCCGCCGCGCTCGTAGAACCGATCAAAGATCGGGCTGTCAGAGTCGCTTTCTTCATCTGAATCGGAGACGTCAGGCTGAACTGAGAATTTCTCAAGCTCGTTCTGACGCTCCACTGCAGCGTCAGCAAGAATTTGCAGAGCGTTGGCGGCGTCAGCTGAGGAATAATTCTGCATGTCGGTGTGCCGGAGTCAAGAGAGCAGAGGCCAGAACAGATCAGAGGGGCAGGAGGGGGACAGAGGATCGGTTCGGCGTTGCAGGGCGGATGGGGAAGCAGATCGTGGGAGCGAGAGGGGGGTGGAGGAGCGGATCGGGGGAGCGAGTGTGGGGTGGAAGAGCAGGTCGGAGGGGCAGATGACAGATGGAGGAGCATGTGGGAGGGGCGGGTTTGGGGATTGTGGAGTGGATTGGGGGCCGGGGGGTGTAGCGGCTCCGATACGGGCGAAGGGGTTGTGTTATTGTCGAAAGACTTGGGCATTTGACAAAAGCCTCGGTCAGAGAATGGGGTGGCCTGAGGCTGCTCAATCACAATAAGCTCATGAAGCTACCACGTAATTGTGGTCGTGCTGCCCCTTGCTGTAGAATAGCTACGTACTGAATTATGGCACTGTAAATATGTACTGTTGGAAACGTATCCAATTGTGGATGTATTTTATTGATGATGATTGATTCTTACGGCTTATACCCCATAACTACGTGGAAGGCCTATTGACTGTACAATAAAAGTAGGCGCACTACCATAAAAAGGGAAGTTGCCCCACCCACGAAATATGTCTAAACGGTTACACCCTAAAACAAGTAGAATTGTAGGTGGCACGTCCTTAAGGGACTCTATCGTTGATAGCGAAATGTAGCCTACATAATCCCTGAATTGATATTGAGAACAGAGAAGTGTGATATCTACTGTAGTCTACTGAATAAGTCTAACACTCACATCGATAACCGTAGCTCAAATCACATATCGATCCTCAGATGTTGAAGCGATTTCGTGTTGACAAACGGTAACACCACCAACTGTAATCGCTCACCATGTGTTTGCCCGAGATTGTAGAAAGCTTACTGTGGGAAGCTGGAAATTGAAGTTTATTTGGTTAGCCCTAAATCTGGGAAAACGGGAAAATTATCTGGGCTACGCGCCGGTGGGAAATCTGGCGATATTAAAGTCCGAGGGCGGTATCCCGGCCGGCCCTCGGGGTTAACTTGCTACCCGATGAGAGTGTTCCGTTCGAGTCTCGAGACTCTCCGTCCGAGGTATCCCCGTCCCCCTCACTCTCGTGACTCCTTTCCCCCGCCACTGCGCGCCACGAGCGCGGCTACTACTAACCTCATCGTTGCCGTTCTTCCACAGTTATGGGCCCAGGGGGAAGATGAATAAACTATCAGGATTCTTCGACCCGCCCCTGTTCGCCGCCGATGGCGATCTAGAAGCCTGGCGCAAGAAGGTTGGACAGTGGGTCGACTCACTCAAAGTGACCCACGATCAAGGCACGGATCGCACCTTTCAGACAATGTTCAAGCTTCTGGGACGCACGCTCTATGAGCGCGGGCTCCCAGAAGCTCAGAAGGCGATTGTCGATGAAGCCCAGTCTAAAGGACAGCTCGACTATCTTCAGATGGATGATCCCGTGCAAGCGGCACTGTCTATAGTCGAGCTTGTCGCTGTAGACCCACCGATCTCCATGGTCACAAGACTCATCGCATCATACCAGAAGGTTACATCGTGTCGCCGAGACAGAAACGAGAAGCTCTCCAGTTTCGTTTCAAGGTTCCGAGGTTTGGCAGCCAAGCACTTGTTGCACGCCAACATTTCTTCTTTTTCGCAGATAGGTAAAGTTCTGGCCATTACCCTCCTCAGCAACGCCAACATAGAGGAAGGGACTTTAACCAACGCCAAGCTCCAACTAATCTCTCATGCAGAAGCCCGGAACAAAGAGGAATCGGCAGTCGTCGACACCAAAAGGGTATCCAAGATGCATCTCGAGGAAGTTCTCAAGATATCTGAGAAGCTTAAGAAGGTTGACGTTCCACTCCGCGAGTCCGAGTCTACGGCCGATGAGTACAAGAAGGCCCTGTCCGATTTCCGATCGCAAACCATCAGTTTCATCCGCTCCTTGGACATTGCAGTTCAAGACCTAAAGGTGAACGCAGAGAAACATGCTGCAAAAACGTCAGTTGCTGACTTGTTCTTGCCGCGGCACACTTCTTGCAGGCTCAACCTTGATGACGCGGTGATCGTGCTGAGAAATCTGACCAAAACAAGCACAATGGATGCTCCCTAGTTCTCTATGAAGGACGTCCAAGCTTTGATTGACCGCAAAGTTAAGTCCCTCATTGGTACCCATGGCAAGACTGGCTCAGAAAGCATTTCTGACAGGCTATCTGAGGTCAGCCCACGTCATGGGCAGAAGAAGGACACTCGAACGG